GCATATCATGTCTATTTTTTTTATTTAACAAGGTAATTTGATATACTTTCAAACGAATCTAAATTTATTTAATTATGTTATGTAATTGTTGAGATATGCAATTTTTTGTCACCGCCATTTTTTTCTTAACACACTGTATAACAGAATTAATCGTTCAATTATCACCATCATCAGATGTATCGAAAGCTAATCAAACTCTTTCGGGGAATTCTTTGAAAAAAGCTATAGAATGCAGAGACATGATGTGTGCATTTAAGGATTTTGGTTTTTCTTCTATAAACAACGATCTGATATGTAAGTTATACCCAATTTATTATTATTTTCTGAATGTCAATCAATCGATCGATCAAATTAATAATTTGTTTATGATTTACAGGCTCTTGTCAAAATAATAAAAAAATTATTTTTAAAAAAATGTGCACGGTCAAATTAAGATAAAACTGATATCTTATTTTATTGTAATGATAAATAAAGATGAATTTTCCCAAAAGTGTTTTAAATAGAAAAATTAGCTTTGTTTTTAATTTTCTAAATAATATTAACAGTGGTAGTAGTGATAATAAGAATGTTTTATCAATCCCAATAACAGCAACAATAAAGCTAATGAATCAATGGAAGGCTCATCGAATTGAGTCAAAGAATATTAATACTAATACCAATTGTTGTGTCAAAACTGAAAACTTTCTTCAATATTATCATTCAACGCATTCAACATTAAACTTATTTGATTGTATACAAAGCATGACATATAAAACTGCAAATAATAATAATAATAACTATAAGATTATTATTAAAAAATGCAATAACGTGACTCAACTTAGAAATGTAATTAATAGATTATTTTATAAATACAAATCACCAAACGAATCTAATGTATTAGAGGCATTAAAAGCTTGTTCAAGACTAATAATAAATATTCAAGAGAAGACTGATTTAGATTCATATTCATCACCATCACCACCACCACCACCATCACCATCATCACCACCATCATTAATATCATTATCATCTTTAGACAATACAATAAACAAAGGATTGAAAAAATATTGGATTGACATTCCTTCTTTTGAGCAATAGTAATAATATTAATAAAACAATAAATTTATTATAATACGTAACGTGTTTTTTATGAATTTGTTGACGTTCTTGTATATTTTATCATTTACAGTTGATGCCCTATGAAAATAGTCTGCTATGAAAACTTTTTCAATTAAAGTTAATTTACTAATCATTTCATTAAAGGTCAATGATGTGATTGATATTATGGTTTAAAGGAAATTGTTTGAAGGATTAACGGGCCACGGGGATTCTAAATAATCACATTTTTTCTGTGCGAAGGATGACGAGGAGTAGATTCTTGAATTGGGTGATTGATTTTATTGTAAATTTTACTTGTAAAACAATGGGGGACGCTTATAAGTAACTTGGTGAGAAGGCAAATTTTGAATTGGTCTTTTTTTATAAATTTAAATTTTTCGTGTATCATCCTTCATTTCGAAAACGCGCGTACATTCTACTAATACTAATACTAATTACTAATACTATTACCGAATTACCAATAAACACTAACA